GCAGTTCCTGCTCTCTTTGGGGCAGGACTCGCTGCCCGCGCCGCCGCGGCCTGTGTCCATTCGAGACAGAAGGCCGCCAGCCCAACAGCGGCCGCTGCTGGTTCGGGACAACATTTGTTGTTAGGCATTGTACCCATTTTTCCGTACCCATTACGGGCGTCCAAATCTTAGAAGCACCCTTGCTTCTTAGAAGGAGCGGGCCTCATCTGTAGATGTATATAAGGCCTGCGCCTTCTAAGAAGCAGCCTCCTTCTAAGAAGCCCTCCCCCCTGCCTCCACCCCCCTTTATGCGCGCCGCCAGAAGCCGAGGATACGGAAAACCTGCCGCCGTGATTGCTTCATGTCCCGAGGGGGTCTGGGGTTAGGTCGGGCATGTCCCCCTGCAGGCGGACTTTGGACGAAACGTAAAGAATATGCCCAAAAATAATAATAATAATAATAATAATAATAATAGTAATAGTAATAATAATAATAATAATAAATAATAATAATAATAAATAATAATAAATAATAATAATAATAATAATATAAAAATAATAATAATAATAATAATAATAATAATAATAATAATAATAACAATAATAACTTGCCAACCAAAAAAATATTCAAAACATCGTCCCCAGACTGTTTTTTCACTATTTTTGAATACTCCTCCTGCGGAGGGACAGGCCCGACTTGAGTCTGGGGACGTCCGCGGCCCGGCGCGCTCTGTGCCGCGCGCGCGCGCGCCGGCGCGCGCGGCGGCGCGCGCCGAGCGGGCCTGGCGCACGGCCAGCGCCGCCCCGAGTGTCGACTAGACGTAAGAGTGACCTTTCGCCCAGAGTGCCCTGTACCCAGACCCCCGCGAGTCATGAAAAAATCACAACGGGAGATTTTTCGCTATTTTCGGCCTCCGGGGGCCCTTACCGGGCCTCGGGACCGTCAAAAAACGATTCAGGACGAAAAACCGGTCCCGGGGAATGGGTCGGGACTTTTGGGGGTCGCGTCATGAAAAAATCATGACGTCGGGGGTCTGGGTAGTGCGAGCCCAACGGGGTCCCCCGGCACTCCCCGGACGCCATGCGAGAGTAGCCTCTGACCGCGCCGGGCTTTGGCCCCCTCGCGCCCCCCCAAGAGCCGCGCACCGAAACCCAGAGATCCGACGTCGTGATTTTTTCAATGCGCGGTCCCCGGAAGCCTCGATCCATTCCCCAGGACCGGTTTTTCGTCCTGAGTCGTTTTTTGACGGTCCCGAGGCCCGGCGAGGGCCCCACGAGGCCGAAAAATAAGAAAAACCTCCGTCTTGATGTTTTCAATAGGTTGGATCTCTGGGAAGGCCACTCCTGCCCAGGGTCACTCCTGCGCGCAGTCGAGAGAGGCACCTGGCCGCCCGCCCGGGCGCGACGCGGGCCGGCGCGCGCGTGGAGGGCGTCGTGGAGGCCGCGGCAGGCTGCGGCCTCGAGGCGCCCGGGCCGGGGGTGCGACCTGTACGTAGGTCGGGCCTGCGCCTCTTCAGTTAAGCCGGGCCTGTCCCTCCCCAGACCTCCTCGCGTCGTGAAAAAATCACGACGGGAGGTTTTTCTCTATTTTCGGCCTCCGGGGGCCCTCGCCGGGCCTCGGGACCGTCAAAAAACGACTCAGGACGAAAAACCGGTCCCGGGGAATGGGTCGGGACCTTTGGGGGTCGCGTCATGAAAAAATCATGACGTCGGGGGTCTGGGTCTACAGGGGGAAAGTTCAAAAAATAGTCAAAAAATAGTCTGGGAACTATTTGTTTGAGTATGTCTGGGCATCTTTGGAGCATGTTTGCCATCTTCTTTATATTTTTCGTCCACCATCCCCCTGTAGGGCGACGGGCCCGACCTAAGTCTACAGGAGGAATATTCAAAAACAGTCACAAAGAAAAAGAGTTCGGGGACGATGCTTTCACTGTTTTTGACCATGTTGGGGGCATTTGGGGGGCATGTTTCATTTCTCGTTCCAGATCCGCCTGTAGGGGGGGCATGCCCGACGTAGACCTACACCCACCAGTCGTTGAAAATATGTATTTTTTGGGATCCCAGGTCCCAATCTGCTCTTAGGCGCCTTCTTGCTTCAAGGGTCGAGTGGTGTCGCCTCATCCTTCCTCTTCAGGGGGGGGGCGGAAGCCCATTCTACTTCCAACGCCTTCCTACTTCATGTTTATATTTTTTGTTGTCCGACCGATGGGTACGACCACCCTTCGGGTGAGAAGGAGGTTGGGGGGTAGGGGGGGAAGAACCAACTGGTGGCAAATGCGATGGGCGTGATGATGACGATGCTGGTGACGCGCCCTCGAGTTAACTAGCGACGACGCGTGATGACAACGCTGCGTGTGATGACGGTGTTGCGCGTTGACCTAGAGGCGCCGGGCGGGGCTACTACCCTGAGATCTAGGCGCCGCAAATTTAGCACGACCGGCGGTTTCGCCCGGCTTCGAGCCCCAGGACCATCACAGATCGATCTGGCTCGAAAAATGTTGCAGAAAGATGAGGTCCAGGGCCGATGCTGCATGTCTTCCTACAGGACCAGTTGAAGTCATTCCAAAGCGCTCCAGAACGTGCCCAGAGTGCTCCAGGGCGCCCTGGAACGGCCGCGGCACCCGTCGAGTGTTACTGGAAGCGTCCCTGGCCCAAGGTGCCCCCAGGATTTGCTCCCGTCCTCTTCGTCCTCTTTCCCCTGCCTTTGTCACCTGCCTCCCGCAGCGCGCGCTCGCTCGCTTGGCGCGGTCCCTCTGCCTACATAGGCTCGAGGCGTTGCTGGGGTGTTTCTGCCTCGACTCGTGTGAGATCCTGGTGCGGGCACTTCTGTCGGCACTGGCCGTAGAGGGCGGGCTTCGCACGCGCGAGTTCTGTGTTTTATTAGCTTGTTGCCTTCTTCCCTCTGTCGTGTGTCTCCCTCTCTCTCTCTCTCTCTCTCCCTCTTTGTTCCTCCTCCTCCTCCTCCCCCTCCTGGCTGTCGTTGTGTGGGTGACATAAGTGGGTGGTTGGGCCAGGGTCTTTTTTCCCGGCCAGCGTCCTCCTCCGCTTTGCTCCTCCTTATTATTGCACACATCTTCGACGGCACGGTTTGAGAGGAACCACGGGCATCAGGCTTGTTTTGCGTTGTCGCGTGCGGGGGCAAGTTGCAAATTTGCAGTGGCAGTGCGAATCCTTTTCAACTGTGCTGGCTGAGGCGTGAAAACACATGATTGGGCCATGCTCCATGGAAAAAGAATGCAAACAATTACCCGAGACGTGCCCAACCTCTTCTCAACGCGAGTCGACAAATTAAAGGAACGCTACATGCAAAAGAACACGTTGCAAGGACACTCTGTTCGCACTGGACCTCCCAGGAGCCCACGACGGTGGCGACAATTCTGCGCAACCCTCAGAGAGCCGCGAGGTCTCCGCTTCGTCTGCGTGCTCCCCCGCTCCGCTGGGCCTCCCAGGAGCCCACAAAAGTGGCGACAGTTGCGCAGTTCGCAGCCACACAAGGAGCTGCGAGGTCTCGGCTGGATCCGCGTACTCCGCTACTCCGCTGAGCCTCCCAGGAGCCCACGAATGAGGCGACAGTTGGGCAGTTCGCAGCCACACAGGGAGCTGCGAGGTCTCGGCTGGATCCGCGTACTCCGCTACTCCGCCGTGCCTCCCAGGAGCCCACGAATGTGGCGACAGTTGCGCAGTTCGCAACCACACGAGGAGCTGCGAGGTCTCGGCTGGATCCGCGTACTCCGCTACTCCGCCGTGCCTATCAGGGACCCACGAAAGTGGCGGCAGTTGCGCAGTGCGCAGAATACCAGGGAGTTGCGAGGTCTCGGAAGGATCCGCGTACTCCGCTACTCCGCCATGCCTCCCGGGAGCCCACGAAAGTGGCGACAGTTGCGCAGTTCGCAGCCACAGAGAGTTGCGAGGTCTCGGCTGGATCCGCGTACGCCGCATTTCCGCAGTGCCTCCCGGGAGCCCACGAAATGGGCGACACGTGCGCAGTTTGCAGCCACCCAGGGAGCAGCGCAGGAGGAGGCACGACGAGGGGGGAGGAGATGGAGACGCGACCGCAGTGCTCTCTTCAAAGCGAGAGCCCAACACAGGAGCATAGTGAAAAAGCGCCCCCAGGACTTCCACGGAGGCCCCCACGGGCCCCCCGGAGGCTCCGCTCGCGAGGCCCACGGGGCCCCAGGAGGCTCCGAGATGTGCCGAGAAGCCGGGGACACCCCGGGCCAGGAGCGCCTGCCGCAGCCCCCGGGAACCCGGCACCGCTACGCCCTGGACACCTCTCCTGGGGGTGCGTGCCGAGCAGGATCGCGCGGCGGATCCAGCCGTGGCGACGAGGGCCTCCCGAGAGGCCCAGAACGGCGGCGGCGAGGCGGGGGTCGCGGCGTCGGCCCCTCCTCCTGCTCCGAACCCGAGCCCGAGATGTTCCGACGCGGCACCGCACACCTTGAAGGAGAGCGCCTCCTCCTCCTCCGCCTCCGCCTCCGCCTCCGCCTCCTCTCCTCCTCCTCCTCCTCCTCCTCCTCCTCCTCCTCCTCCTCCTCCTCCTCCTCCTCCTCCTCCTCCTCCTCCTCCTCCTCCTCCTCCTCCTCCTCGGCCACCAGGGCAAAAGCCCCGCCTCGGACGCCGGGTCTGCCGTGGGTGTGCCGCGGTGCCGGCTTCGTCTACTTGGGCGCGGTCAGGACACGCGGCGCGGCGACGTAGGTCGGCCAGAACCGCCAGATCTCAGAGATCCCCGATTTGTCTTCGGCCCCAGACCTCCTCGAGTCATGAAAAATTCACGACGGGAGGTTTTTCGCTATTTTCGGCCTCTGAGGGACCTTACTGGGCCTCGGGACCGTCAAAAAACGACTCGGGATGAAAAACCGGTCCCGGGGAATGGGTCTGGACCTCTGGGGGTCGCGTCATGAAAAAATCATGACGTCGGAGGTCTGGGGCGTCGCGTAGTGGGGGTGCGGTAGATGGGGGGGGCAGCGAGGGCTGCAGAAGAGGGGCCCTCTTTTAGGGCCCCTCAAGGGGCCCTGCAGGGACCAGAAGGGGGCCTCCAGGGCCCGGAGAGTGCACCTTTCTTCCCCCTTCCCATCTATCACCCCCCAGCAAGCGACGCCCAGTTGTCCCGGTCCGATTTTGTCCTTGCCCTGGCTTCGTCTTCAGGCGAGGGCCGTGAGTAGCGCGACCGAGTCTTTGGAGGCGATGCTGCAGAACCGGCCCACAGTGTGTTGCGTGTTGCTGGAGGCGTACGTGGGAGTGCTGGAGGTGCGGGCGGTGCAAATTGTTCACGCCAGGCGTTTTCGCTGGGTTCAGGGCCCCAAGACCATCACAGACCGATCGAATTTCCAAGGAGGCCCCCACGGCCCCCCGAGCACCCCTCACTGGCCCAGAGGGCCCCAGGGTCTCCAGAATGGAGTGGACAGCTAGGGGCACCTTGGGCCAGGGGTACTTTTAGCATCCCCCGAGACATGGTGGAGCTGGAGGGGCGCTGACCTCAGACATGCTCGCGCCGTTGGAACAATCGAGGCCCCTGAGATCCTGGCGTCTCAAATGGTTCGAGCCGGGCGTCTTCGCCGAGTTTCGGCCCCTGGGGCCCTCACAGAACGATCTGGCTGGAGACCTGCTGCAGACAGATGGGGGGTCCAAGGCGCTGGTCGTGACGTTTCGCGAGGTTGCGCTTCTGTATTCGTGCCGTCGGGGTCCTCAGCGAGAGCCACGGGGCGGCTCCGCAGGCGGAACCCAGCGGACGGCGACGAGTGTGAAAGTCGCCCCCGCAAGAGATGCAAACCTGATCGGACAAGAGCGGGAAGCGCCGCTGCAGTCAAATGGGCGTATTGGGCGAAGAAGACAAGGAAGGCGAGGACAACGAGGAGTCGATGACGAGGACGACGTGGCGGGGCGGACCCCAGCGGAAGGCGGCGAGTGTGAAAGTCGCCCCTCCAAGAGGTGCAAATGTTTCTTTGACGCCCGCGGTGAGAATCACCGCCGCCCCCGTGCTTCTCCGGGCACGCCGAGATGTGGCCACAAACGTTGAGCCAATGCCTGGCCACGCTGTTGGATGATGTGCTCCCCCAGCCGTTGTGGAAGCCCTGGGAGGCACACTTCGTGAAGGAGGAGCGAGCAGGAGGAGGAGGAGGAGGAGGAGGAGGTGGAGGTGGAGGAGGAGGAGGAGGAGGTACCCTTCGTGAAGGAGGAGAGCAGGAGGAGGAGGAAGATGAGGATGCAGGAGGGGTGGAGAGATAGGAGGCCTCCTGGGGCCTTCTTTCAGGCCTCCTCGGGGCCCCCTGGGGGCTTCCCGGGAGCCCTATGGGGGGCTTCTGATGGGCCCTTTCGGGAGCCCCCCCTGTGCTCTAGGAGGCCCCTAAGGGGCTGATGGAGGCCTCTGGGGACTGCTCGGCGTTGGAGGCCCGGCCTCACCTGGGGCTGGCCCGTTCCGGCGGCCATCTGCACAGGGCGTTCGTGCAAATGCTCCCCGAAGCCCATGGCGCGCGCAGAAGTGCAACTGTAGCCGCGCTGTGGGGGGGGGGACCATGGCGGGGAAGAGCGCACAGGCCTAGACACCCCCAGGAGGTCGGCGCCGGCGGACGCAACCCTCTTTGGACTCGGGGTTTCCAGGGAGGGCCACGTGCGATGAAGAACTGGTCCCAGAGAAATCCTCCTCCTCCTCCTCCTCCTCCTCCTCCTCCTCCTCCTCCTCCTCCTCCTCCTCCTCCTCCTCCTCCTCCTCTTCAGGGGATCCAGGACCCCTTGCCCTCGGGTGCCGCCGCGGCGCGGCACCTCCTGCGCGGAAGGCGCGGGCGGCTGCGCTCGAGGGGGGGGGCCCGAGCGAAGAGCGGCCCCCCCGCGAGGCCTCTCGCCGCCGGGCGGCCTGCCGAGGCCCCCCCACCCGGTGGGCCCTGGAACCGACGAGAACCGCGCAGGGTGAAGCACTGGTCCCGGAGAAAACCCGCGGAGCAGGAGGAGGAGGAGGAGGAGGAGGAGGAGGAGGAGGAGGAGGAGTACCGAGCGCAGGAGGAGGAGGGCGACGACGACGAGGAGAAGGAGGAGGCGGAGGAGGAGTCGGAGGGTTGTGGAGGTGGCCAAAGCCAGCACCAGGAAGAGGAGGAGGAGGAGGAGAAGGAGGAGGAGGAGGAGGAGGAAGGGGAAGACCCCGTCCCCTCAGGACTTCCTTTTTCCCCAAGCCAGAGGACCCCGAGACGGGCGAGGAGACCGAGCAGGAGGTCGGCGGGCATTGCGTCATGGTCGTGGGGGGCGACCTCCTGGGCCCCGGCTACGTCGCGTTCGACCCGTGGGGGCCTGGCGACGGGGGCGCAGAAATCAGCGGCGGGCGAGGGGGGAAATGAGAAGGGGAAGGCCGTCTCAGAAGGCGGCGGGGCTTCTCGGAAGCCCTCGCACCTTGTGAGAAGTTTTGCGCGTCTTCGGGGCAAGCGTAAATTATAGCCGGAGCGCAGTATCCCCAAACAGGGTTTTTAGACCCACTGCGGTTTCCAAGGTCGATTGCGTGCCCGTCCAGTGCGGGCTGGCATGGCATGTTAAACATGCCTCCTCCTCCTCCTCCTCCTCCTCCTCCTCCTCCTCCTCCTCCTCCTCCTCCTCCTCCTCCTCCAGTCGCCGCTACTGCTCTGTGCAGCATGCGACGGATTCGGCCACCCATCCACCATGGGCGGCCCCACAAAACAACCCTGACCCCGAGGGGCTCTTGGCCAGCCGCGATGGCGACTGCCCGCCCTGTGCTGTCCTTGCTCGTGTACAACCCCTTGCACGCGGCTGGAGACAGATTACTGGATATCGTGGCAGAAGTACCGAACATACATGTACTGGGTCTTCCTGGAACGCAGAGAAAGGCCCCCGTCGATTGTCCGTATCAGGTCAGCATGGTGCAGAAAAGAGTGTGTATTGAAGCAGGGTGGAGATCAGGAGGATTCTCGAATAGAGCTGCTGGAGTCGCCGCTGTTTTGCCCCCCAGGCTGGCGCCAACAACACGTTCGCCGAGTAGAGCTACCTCCCCCACCTTTGCAAGGGCGAGGTATCGCTATTGATGCGGGGAAGGGAGGCTGGCAATTATTTATTGTAGTGTTGTACTACCCTCCCCGCCCAAGCACAGCCACGGGCCTCAGACAGCATTTCGCGCGCTGCAAGAAACTTTCAGAATGGACTGAATGGACTACGGGGCTTGTTAGACAACTTCCAGCACGGGTTCAGCCAGTTATACTAGCTGATGTTAACGACGGGATGGGGCTTAGCAAGGTGGATGGGGAACTGGGAGGAGGTGGACACGCAGGCGGTGGGACAGGTGAGGACGAGGGAGAGGCACATCGGAGGAGCGGGACAACGATTTCGAGAAGTTCTGGAAGCTGCTGATTTGTACTCCCCAACAACCACGTCACACTATGCCCCAACTTTTTACGGAAATAATGGAGGCAGCAGTATGATTGACCACATCGGGGCCCCACTGGCGTGGCGTGACTCGGTCGAGTGCGCGGCTCCGATTCACAAGCTGGGACGGAGGCTACAGGTCATCCCTCGTAGAGAGCCGCGCGACCATCTGCCGGTTCTGGTCAGTGTTCGTGTGCCTAGGATTGGAGGAGGACAGGAGGTCAGAGAGGAGGTTGCCCCTGATGCCAGGAATCGTCTGAAAGTCGCCTGGGACCGCGACAAGCTCATGCAGGGGCTCCGCGGGGGCCCAAGAAGGGAGGCTGTCATCAGGCAGGTGGAGGAGGAGATGGAGGAGGTGTGGCCCAGTCTACCGCCAGATCTTGCAGACACAGCTGCTCCAGACCTTCTGCTCGATAGATTGGATGACGTCCTACGGCGCCTGGGAAGTCAGCATCTTCAGAGAGAGCGCGCTGGGCTTCGTGAGCCACACCCACTCATTCAAGAGCGTCTGGCTCTGCTTGCTCAGCGACGTGCACTTCGTGCATCACTCCATCTTGCCACAGATGCTGAATTTGAAGAGCGCTGTGCCCGCCTACGCGAGTGCACTAAGAGATGCAAGTCTATCTTTCGACGTCGCAGCAGGGAGAGAGACGAACGCCTGGTGCAATCCATATGGGAGGCTTGGAGAGCCCGTGATTTTGCTGTTATTCAACGTCTCACTCTTCAGCTTGCAGGTGGGAAGTATGGGAGGGCTAAACGGGACCTACGAAAGTTAAACGGAGCTTTACCTATTCCAGAACAGTGGATGGCGGTATGGGAACAGCAGGGAGGGGACGGAGGGATGCTAGCACACCGAGCTGAATGGTCAGAGTATTGCGATCATCCACGGGCTATTTCAGCTCGACCTCTTTCTCGTGAAATGGCAGAGGAGAAGGCCACGCGCGCGCCTGTTTTCGAGCACTCTTGGATCTTGAGCTTATCCAGAAGTATTTCGCCAGAGCTTCGATGAGACGAGGTGCGCCGACTTGGGCGCTACCGCTTGAGATCTGGAGCATGTGTATCAATGGCCCTCGAGCGCAGCAGGCAGCCATGCAGGGGGCGGGAATGGGAGCAGACACGACTGTCACGGAGGGTAAGTATACGAAGCTGTTGCTGCACCGAGCACTCGCTCTTACTAGGTTCTGGGAGGTCACGCCAAAGCTTTGGAATATTAGTCAGGGGTTCGCTATTCCGAAAGCTGCTGCCCCATGGCCGAATGGCAAACGAGTTGTCCATGGGCTGGATCCCCTGAGCAAAGGTTTTTACGCAGGTATCCTCAAGGTCGGCCCCAAAGAAGCTCAATCCGAATGTGACCGCGGCTTTCTTCGATTTCGACGGCGCGAGGACGCCCTGGTAGCACGTCTCTGCACTGGTTGGCGCTTGAACCAAGCAGGCTTCTATTTGTGCGACTCCTTAAAGGACTTATCCAATGCCTTTGCTTCCCCACATTGGCAAGCCCTCGATGCAGCATGTGTTTCACTAGCTCAGCATGATGATCGTAAACTATGTCGTCAAAGGTATCGCACCTCAGGATGTATGCTACCGTCGTGCATGGGCTCGTTTCTGATCCACCCTGGCTGTGGAGCACTGCAGGGTGACCCGTTTGCTGTGGCCGGCTTTGTTCGTACCTTTAAGCCGCCAGTGGACCGCTGGATTGAGCGATACCAGCGCGAGGACTCAGGAGAGCAGTTTCTGCGGGCGCACCTCCCGCAGGCCATGGACCCTGTCCGCGAGAATAACATCTATCTAGGCCTGCACAAATTCGCAGATGACCTGCTGAAAAAAGATAGTTATTGGTCGGACATATGACGCGCAACGTTTTGGGCACCTGCTCGATCGTAATGACGCGATCCTCGATGAAGAGCTCTCTTCCATCGGCTTGAGGCATAACCAACAGAAGTAGGAAGCGATTGTGCGGGTCCCTGCTAGCTCTCGACGAGGCGCTGCTGCGATCCTGAGGAGTCGGGAGACGAAGGTTGCTGAGGATGTTCGGCACCTGGGCCCAAGGATCTCGCCGACGCAGTCGTGTGGACCAGAGCTCTTGCATAGGATCCAGGCCATGAAAGCTGCGTTCTATCGTCTTGGGAGTTTCTGGTTTAAGCGTGGAATACCCGTCCGATGGAAGCGATGCATACTGCTGTGCCACATAGTGAATGCGGCGCTGTCTGGAGTCGAGGCTTTCGTACCGACCGAGGTCCAGCTCAACACGTTGCAGTTGGCTATCGCTGCTCTCGCTCGTAACGCTATGCGTGGGGGGGCTAGCTGGGAGGATCAGGAGGGCCGTATTCGACCGCTTTCGTCGATGGAGGTGCTGAGGTGGTGGAGGATCGCCCCCGTCTCGACCGAACTTCGTGTTCGACGGCTTCGTTGGCCTCAGGCGTGCATCAGAAGACCAGAGGCCCACCAACAGCTACTCGCATCGATCTTCGGCAGCGTGACCTTCGAGAGGGAGGGGGCATTCGATGACTACGGTAGGGTTCGCGAGTCGGCTAACCCATGGGCCCGGCGTGTTCAGGATGACATCGGACACCTTGTCCAGTGGAGCTCGGACGCTGCTGAATGCTGGGAGCGCGCGGAGGGCTCGATTTTGAAATTGTTCGACCCCGAGATCGCCCCCGACTTCCTGCGGGTGGATATGACCATCCTGAGAGGCACGCACTCGTCTGTTGAAGCACCTCCCCATGGGCTCGAGGAAGTTGACCACCTAGCTCTGGAATACGAGGCCCTCTGTACGGAGTTTCCCCACATGTGTCCCTGGACGGGTTGCCAATCTAAGTTCTCATCTAAATCGGGGTTGGTTAATCATATTCGGCGCATTCATGGAATGGTGAAGCTGTCCCAGGCCCTGACCAAGACCAATCAGTGCATTGTGTGCCACGAGGTATTCTGGGATCGAAAAACGGCCCAAAAACATATCCATGGAGCCCTGGTGAACGGAAGATGCTTGCAGAATAAAGCCACTACTCTTCGACCTCTCCAGGAACCTCAGGACCTCACCTGTAGTATATGTGGCTCTTTTTTTCAGGGACTGCTGAATATAACGATCACGCTTGCACCCACCTGCCTTTCGTTCCAAGTGTGCGTGATGGCCCTCGTCGACGACACGCTGTTCGGGACCGATGTCGACATGCCGCAGTGGTTGTGCGCGGTGAGGCCCAAGAGAGGCGCCGAGTAGCAGGCCGAGGGCGCGGCCAAGAAGCTTGCGACGGCAGGTGGCGGAAGCGGAGGCGGCGGGGGAGGCGGAGGCAGGAGGCGACGCCAGGCGGACCCCGACGACAGCGACTTCGTGGACGCGTTCAGGGCCATGGCACGTCTGTCGCTCAGCAATGCAAGAGAGCTGGCCATGATCGAGTCGAATGTCCTCGAGACGTACCTGGTCGACGAGAACGCCTGGTTCGCTCGCGCAGGCCTGGCGGCGAATGCGCACTACACGGGCCAGGCGAAGGCGCTCAAGGAAAATAAGGACCAGGATCCCACCGTCGACCTCGCCAGCCTGGGGCCCCCCTTTCTCACGGTCTTCTGGTTGATTATGGTGGCCATTCGCCAGAATGCGAACACTGGGGCGCCGAAGGAGGCCATCGAGAAGTTCCACCGCGATCACCTTCAGGGCAAAGGACCAGTCGAGCTGGCGAACTATGCACGACACAGTTCGTTCCAGCAGCCGAGGGGCGAGAAGTCGAAGCGCATGGAGAACAAGGTCAAGTTCAAGCTGAATGTGATGCCGAAGGGGACGACGGGGCATGCACTATGCGAGATCTTCCAGCAGGTTCTGTTGGAGGTCAAAGCGGAGAGGCTGGTGGGAGCAGCTCCGAGGAGTGCGGCAGAGCGCCAGGTACAGCAGTGGTTGAATCGTCACTAGAGCAGAAAGTGGCGAGGTGGGTACG